CAAAGCTTATGATAAAATATTTCCTGTCGCATGTAAGAGATAATTTAAATCATCGCGATTTTTCTCACGAAGGCTATCAGGACTATCCAGTATCAAACCCAGCTAGCGATCAACTGTCTGTTACATAAAGTTAAAGGGACACTCCCACCTTAACATTAGTTTTGAATTGAGATAGCCAAATTGGTGGCCATGGCCTGCAAATACCGGTTTGGGCACTCACAACATCGACGAATGCTTTAATTCGGAGATATGGAATTTCAAACTTGCAGTTTTCGGATTCTAAGGGGCTAGTGCATTGGTATGCCCCCTTAGAATTTGTGACGTCAGCGGAGATCTAACGATTTTTAAATCTTTTACTAAAACGTTTGGTAGCACGCGGTGGTATATGCTGCTTTGCGCGCAACAAATGCCGCACTTTCAAATAAAGTCGCTAGGAACAACGGAGATCCCAAAAAGTAAACAAAAGTAAAAGTCTAATATCTTGAAAACCGGTGAATATTTTTCGATGAAATTTGGTAGATATTCGTTTTCGCTCTTTCTGAACCGAGCGACATCACTTTCGTACCAATTCATTAACTTTTTTGAAGGTGGGAGGGTCCCTTTAAGTAGATCAACTGTTTGTTGAGCATCCGTTTCAACGAGGCATCAAGTCATCCGGGAAAACTTGATTACTGATTATTTTTCACACTCCAAAGCATCTGCCAAATGTCGACAACTACAGTTTCATTCAATGGAAAACAATCGGACTCCTAATCAACATGTGCTCCCAATGAAAACTTAAATTTGATGCTATTGGCTTCAGTGGACACTGGAGACTGTGTTTGTGGAGACAGTAGTCTAAGAGACAGTGTGTTTTTTTTTCGATGGGCCGTGTATTCTAGAGGCAAAACGTATAAGTAAAATAGACCGCAATGGACCGCGTGGTTTTTTGAAGCTCATAAATATGTAACTCTTAGTCGTAGACTCTTAGGGACCATGTCAGCCTCAGAAGAAAACACTAACTGATGTAGACACTAACGGACCATGGGAAGGCGTGGGGTAACGGGAAAACGTTCATCGCAGGGAAAACGTCAGCTGATCAAGACCCACCCCCTCCCCCAACTCCACCATGTGCTTGCCCTACCCAGGAGCTGGTTAGCCCATCCACCGACTCGTCTGGCGACCGTGGCTGTGCAAAGGAGGGTTGCAGCAAAATTGTGTCACTCTGGGCGGGCAGGTCTGACCGGCCTCACACAAGGTCACTGGCGTACTTTGTGACCGTAGCTAGACACACATGGGCGTGTACGAGCCCTTGGCGAGCGGAGTGACGGGTTGAGAGGCGGTTGTGAAGGCGTCAGATCTAATTTGATTATAAAATGCTATTGAATATAGATATGTAGATACCAGTATGTTTAACCCGCGCACCGACGGGGGTCTGCGCCAACTTAGTACCGACGGGGGGGGGGGCGGATGACCGCCCCCCCCCTGAGATCTCGAGAACGAAGCAAGATAGCGACAAGCGGTAAACGGCATCGGATACGCACGGACAAGGTCTACAATTTTTACTAAGGTCATTTTCAGGTCAGGTCAAAGATGACGTCACAGGGGTCGAAAAAGTCAAAATGGCGGCGCTAGATATGGAGAGGGTTTTTCTCGAATAACTTTCGAAGTAGTCAAGATAGGAACAAACTAAGGGCATCATCGTGATCCTCTCGTCGATCCGCATCGAATGATATATATGTTGACCTCGAAAGGTCAAGGTCAAAGGTTGACCTCAGGTCACGTGACCTCGAGGTCATCATGTATATCATTTGATGCGTCTTGACGAGCTGAACACAATGAGACTATCCGCGCGGCTGTATCTTGTTCCTGTAAGGAGTTATTGGCAAAAAACCTTTGGTGACCTTTGATGACGTCACATGACCTTACAGCTGCCCAACAGCAAAACAGACCTCAAGGTAGTGAAGGTTGATCGTATGTGAAGTCATGTATGGTATATGGGGCCATTCCGACCCGTTTTAGTGGTAAAAACAGGGAGTTGATTTTTCCCCCATTGACTTATAATGGGGAGGTCGCGAAATTGACCTGACCTTAGGTCACCGACATCAAAATTCCGAGATATACAAATTGTAGCTACTAATGACCTAATAACATCCTGCGACTTTCAAAGGCCTCCGACATCTACTGTAGCTCTGGCACGGTGACAAAGTTGCAAAAAAGTGACTTGAGGTTGGGTCATTCAAAGTGACCTGGTGACTTGACCTTAAAAGTTAGGAGGTTCAAACTTGCACACCATGTGTAAAATTGATGAGAGAATAGTCATACCAAATTTCGCGGCGCTACGCGCCGCGGTTTTCCCGCTATCCGCGAAAAACCTCAGGGGGGGGCGGATATCCGCCCCCCCCCCCGTCGGTGCGCGGGTTAATGAAATCTTCTTGGTTTTAAAAAGATGTCTAATGCAAAATTGTTCGGGAACTCAGGTTTGTTTTCCAATAGAAAAACACACTTCTAAAGAATAGGGTTTTTAAATAACTACTTTAAACACAAGCCTTCGGTTATGACGGATGTGAGTTTGACCTCGTGGCGTTGATGCCGCTGCCCGCTACGTTGTGCGCCTGATCGAAGATGCGATGCAAGAGGGCTTATTCTGCTCGAAACATTTTGCAAGAAATGCCACATTCTCGTCGCACTGACGTGTATGTTTATCTAAGTATCAATTAGTAATATACCATACCTGGGGTGTTTCAATTGTTCTTAATGTTAACCCGCGCCCGGCTGGGGGTCCTGGATTTCCACGCCCTGCTGGGGGGGGGGGTGTTTGAACACCCCCCCTTGTAACTCGGCTCCTGGGCCACGTAGCGATACGCGGTAGGCGGCGTTCGAAAGAGCGTCAAAAATAATGACGAAATCACTTCGGTCAATTTTTTGGTCAGGTCAAAGGTCAGGTCACCAGAGGTCATTGAAGGCAAAATTTCGCCGATTTCCAGGTCGAATGTCGAAAATTTCCAAGAAGCCAACGCATAACTCGGGAACCAATACAGCTACAGCGCCGCGGAAAAGCGCATTCGATAGCCCTATTAACGCCCTTTCTGAGTAATTCTCTCAGATTTGACCTAACGTCAACGGTTTTGCCTGCAGGGGGCAAAAACTGCAAAAATAGCCGATTTTTTCGAAAACAGTTTTTCTGCAATAACTTTTGACCCAAGCCTTGTACGAGCTAACTTTTACCGGCATCGTGTTCCTCTCGTCAAGACGCATCGAACGAACTATAACTTGACCTTGAAAGGTCAACTTGAAAATTTGACCTCAGGTCAAGGTCATGACCTGACCGGAAAGGGTCATGTTGCATATCAGTCGATCCGTATCGTCGAGCTGAACACATCTAAGGCGTTTTCATTGCTCTAGCATGCTTCTATCAAAAGTTATTTGCGAAAAACTGTTAGATACCATTCGTGACCTAAGATGACCTCAGGGCATAAACAAGGGTCACGGACACCATTTTCATGTTCAGTGTGTCTAAACCACTGGTAATTCGGTGTTTGGGAGTGTTTATAATGTCTTGCATCCAAAAGAGGCGCATTTCAATTTTCTCCCATTGACTTATAATGGCGAGGTCGCCAAATTGACCTGACCTTAGGTCATCGATATCAAAATTCTGAGATATACATTTTGTATATGCTATTGCCCTTAGCAATCGCTGAAAGTTTCAAAGCGATCGGTCACTCGGTGTAGCTATGGCAGACATTGAAACTTTTTATGAGGTGAGGTCACTTCAAGTGACCTGGTGACCTGACCTTGAATGACCTTGGTCTGAAATTTTCACAACATGTGTAGAATTGATGTATGATAAGGTGTACCAAAAACGGCGGCGCTCCGCGCCGCCGTTTTTGAGATATTCGCGAAAAACCACAAGGGGGGTGTTCAAACACCCCCCCCCCAGCAGGGCGCGGGTTAAAGACATTCATAGCTCGAAATTAGACATAGGTTATATGCGTCTTAAAATAACTATTTAAGGCTACCTACGATCAAAGCCTTGATTTGAAAAGCTTGGCTGCATTTTGCCATAGTATTTGCGAAAGAGGCTGTAAGTAACCAACCGGAGTAATATGTCTCCCAACCCGTTATTATACAACCATCATTCATGTGTGCCTTATCGGCCAGGAAAACGTACGTTTTCAGTTACTTGTCTGACTACAGGATGGGTACAGGAAGGATGCCTAAAGGCAAGGTTTTCCTCAGCATGTGACATGGGTAGGTCCTCCTACAACTTCGCGGAACACCTACGTCAATTTTTATTTGTGGATCGCTGAAGTTCCCGTCATTTTTACGCTTCATCCATTAACAACTGCCACTTATGAGAACACGCGTAAAATTCCTTAGTCGATCTGCATGCGACGTGACCAACCATGTACGTCAGTAAAACTATGATACCATCTTGTCGAGGTTCCAGCTGTGCGGTCGTGCAAGAATCATTTGCTCGGCTGGCTCGCATGATTCTGATCCGTGCTGGGGACAGTGCTGATATGACTATTCAAGGGCGATGTCCATCGACCAAAGACACGCACACTTGCTTGACACTGATTTAATATTTCCTTTCGAAATCAGCAGTGCTGAACGTTTCTCTTAACCTTTTACGCTATTAATGGACGAATTTGTGGTAAATAAATATGCAAAAATCGGCCAAGAAGGGCAACATGTCTGCAACATGTCTCATAGGACTCCTCATGCATTGTGTGCTGCAGTGCCGGCATGAGTAAAAGCTGCGGTATAAAATCAAATGAAGCACAATATTTATTCTGATGCGGGGTACTGCGGTGCCCCACAGTACTTACCCAGTAGCTCGAAATAAGGAACCGTCCAAAAATGCATGCATAAAACGAAAATGGCATGCTGATACTTTGGTTCCACGTCCGTCACGAAAAAATCGAGTCATGGTAGCACAGGTCAACAGTCATATTATGAGCACGAGAGAGGGCGAATTGTGTGTTGAGGAGAGAGGGAAGGGGGCGAGCTGACATTACCTGTAGGAGGCGCCATCGCAATCGATCGAAGTACCCTCAGAACTGTCTGTAACTCTACACTATCTGCTGCGTCCTCGGTGCCCGACCTGCTCCTTGCAACAATTCACCGCCGCGTGCAACACCGTTCTGACTCCCCCAGCGGTCAGCCGGAGGAGCCCGCCGTGCCTCCAACAACGCCACCTAGCGGCGGGTCCGTTCAGGTCGGAGGGGCTCAGAGGATGGCCTTAGACCGGTATGTTCTGCGGATATTTTCACCTCGTTGATGGGAGAGTCCTAAATACACGGAACTGGTCGAGACAGATGTTAGATAGGTGTATCAGAGTCACGGTTTGGCGTGATTAAGGTGTGTGATGATTTGGGGGTCATTTAGTGAAAAAGGGATAAAGCACGAACACAAAAAAAACGACGTGGCATTGATGAAGCATGTTTTTTTTGGCAACATTTGTGCAGCTGCAATGGGAGACTAATGGGTAAACGCTTGCTCTTGATAACAATTGCGCCCTTTGGACGAGTTCCTCTGGTTTGTAAACGCAAATTATGTTGCTGGTGATTTCTAGGTCCTATTCAAAAGTTCACGTACCTACCTACTATGTTGTACAAGAGTGATTGAGACTTGGTGTTGCCCGTGCGAGCTCCACCAGCGCGCATATTGCATATGATAGATGTGAATGTGATTGATTTTTTTTTCATGAACTTTGTTTAGGCTTTTAGAAACAATGTGGTAAACAAGATCACAGAACGCTATATTGGTCCATTGATATTGTATTTGAAAATATTGATAGGCTAATCGGCAAAAATCTGGTAGACATTAGCATGCATTTTTTTAGTGTATGTTGTCCCATAAAAAATATAGCAATGGATGATCAATCTAGCATACTGCAGAGTGCAGAGCGATTATGTTAAAAGGGACAATGACACTTCTACAGGTGTGCCTCTTTGTTTTCCCTTCTAGATATTTGGATGTTTGTTATGCTCTATGCAGGGTTTAAAATGTCTGACAAAGGGATTTTAGAGATTGTATCGACACTTAACTAAGCAAAAAAAAAAAAAACATCACAACAATAGAGATGCGCAGTTTTGAGCGCTAAGTGGGGTGTGGGGTATTCACAAACCGCTACATGGCACACCTTTATTATGTGAGCTGAATGATGTAACAACAATTAAGATTACCGCATTTAAAATTTATCCAGACGCTCCAGTTTGAGATGATAATGCCGTCGTGTTGGTGCGTTTTTATGTTATTACATCTTCTTGTCTGTGATACCGAAAAATCGCAACAGACGAGATCCTTGTAAACATCTTTAACGTTTCCTGGGCGAGGCTAGGGGAACTTAAATCATGATAAAATTATCAAGAAATCCTGGATTATATGCATGTGAATTGTGAGACGAACTGACAGAGAAGGCTTTCACGCTATTAGCACCTGCGCAGTGCGCATTGCATTGTGACGTTTGCACTGTTTTATTTCACTTCGATTAACCCTATTAGTGGCAGGGGGGGTTGTTTTCATCCACCCCTCAGGTTTTTCGGGAATATCTCCGAAACCGCTGAAACTACGATGCTGAAATTTTCTGACTTTTCCTAAAACTAAATTGAGCACATTCCCTGAAAATTTCAAGTTCATAACTTTACCAGGGGCGGCTCCAGAGCACTGGGAATTGGGGGGTCCTATTCGTGAAGCGAGTCATTTGGGCGAAGATCACGATGCTGATGTATTATAACTGTATGCATTAGTTTTACGAACAGTGAATGAAAGGTATCATGTGATAACAGATACAAAGTTATTGTGCATCCTCTTTTGACACGTTTTTGCTATAATAGGCGGATCCAGGCGTCCAAAAAGGGGGGTTATGTTTTACCTCCCAACATAGGTGCCCTGACACCGCCTGTGCATGGCCAATACAATTGTAGTCGTTCTCTCATAAGAAAATTGTAACATAACAAGACCATTACCACCCTTTTTAGAAACAGTACCAACAAAAACCTTATTTACTATACTTTTTGTGTACCCCCAATCTCAATGATCTGTATCCGCCTATGATTTTTGAAAATGCATATTTTTAGGATCCATGTGAATTCCTGGTTCATTCTCTATCGATCGGCAAAAGTTGCGTTAAGACTGGTTCAGAAACCTGGCCGTGATAAACAGTCTAAAATGTATCTGCAATTTGCCCGTTTTTACCCCCCTCTACCCCCCATTGACATTTTTTTAAATTTTTATTTTTTTGAAATGTAGATCACGTTGAGCGAAATCGAATGCCGTTTGAATTTTGAAAATCGGCCCGTTAGATCTCGAGATATCAGGGGGGGGGGGTCGTAAACAGCCCCCCTGCCACTAATAGGGGTAGCCTGGAGCCTGCCACTAAAAGGGTTAATGAGTCCATTGACTAATGCGACTGTAATTCTGCATTGATTAACCCGGCAGGCGGTGGGCCTCCCGGCCACCTTCCGCGCGGTGGGGGGAGGGATTTTTTGCCCCGCCCCCTCGTATCTCCGAAACTATTGGGCGGATCCGGAAAATTCAAACGGCGTTCGATAGCCCTGTCAAATTTGCTGAAGGAAACCAAATTTCATTGACCTCGAGGTCACCGATGACGTCACAGGTCAGGTCAAAGATAAAATGTTTCACCGTTCACGGGGCTTCTAGGGAAAGCGCTATAACACCGAGCAAAACGCATTTTGTCGAAAATCAGCGATAGGGCGTCAGTTGTCTAGTACATATGTTGCTATTAGAGGTCACTGTTCATACTAGGTCAGGTCACAGGTCAGGTCACCAAAGGTCACCAAGGGTCACCAGTCACCACATGAACCCAACTTTACTAAGGTTGTGCGATACATGTTTTATGGCCAGGTTTTCATTTACAACTCAATGGTGATGGTTATAAGACCATTAGGTACGGTTTAGGTCACTTTCTGGTGGAGGTCAGGTCAAGGTCAGGTCAAGGAAGGTCAAATTCCAAAGTTGATATTTTGCATAAAATGGGTATTGATTCGATGCAGCTTGTCACGGGGAGTCTAATGATGGTCTTTGTTTTGCGCTACGAGGTCTAGAATGGCTAAAAATTGAGTTTGAAAATTTGACGTCATCAATTTTGAACAGTTTTTTTTTTTTTCGCTATAACTTGGCCAAAAAATGAGGTATCGATCTCAAATTTAGTATGTAGATAGATGGCGGTAGGGACTATCACATATCTTCCGGTTTTTTCGAAATTCAAAAAACTTTGTGGATTTTTTGGCTATTATATTCAAAAAATCTATTTTTTATTTTTGGGGTCAAAATCCAAAAATTTCACAAATCCGATACAGTAGTTTTGTAGCCCTCTTCATTCTACACCTTTCATGTCCAAAACATTTTTCTGTATCTCGAAACTTGTAGGCCTCACAGCTCTTCTCGCGAAACCTTTTTGGGTCAAAAATGGCAGAAATGACGTCACTCTAACGTCAGTAGCGTCCAACCTATCATAGCCTTTGGAAAGTTTTTGGTCACAATGTGCAATAGCTATTCACGGGAGAGTACTGAAAGTTTGGTGACGATCGGCGCAGCGGTTCTCGAGATATATCGAAAAAACTAAAGGGGGGGGGGCAAAAAATACCCCCCCCCCACCGCCTGAAAGGTTAATGCCTGCAAAATTGACGGCCTACACGGCACCTTCACGAGAAGTTTCCGTAACCTCATTGTCTCTGGTGGCTGGGGCTACATATCGCTTCGGGAATTTATCACGCCGATTATTTTGGCAATCAATGACGTCCTCGAGACACGCTTTTTGAACACTTCGGCAAAAATTAAGGATTTTTTGTTTTGATTAGATTGTTTTCTAGGAAGTACCATTAGAATATATGACCTTCTCCTCGGAAAATGACAAAAGAAGGTCATATATTCTAATGATAGGTACTTCCTACATTTATCATGCTCCTCGCAGCAGCTCTCAACGATAGATTGTTTTCTTTCCAAGGTAGGTACATTGGTTTTAGACTGTCATGTTATTTTGATTGGCTTTGGACTGTCAATCAATAATTCTCTATCACGTGTGGAATTTTATGATTGTTGATTGTTTTGAAATTCGAAATGTTTCATAAACGTCAGATTTCGTAATATATTCTTCACATATTCTTATGCTTCGTGGAAACAATGAAAATCTGAGAAAACAATGGGGCAAGATATTTTCGCAAAATGAATGAAAACGCTCCTTATTCCATGGTCTCAAAATGAGTCATTCATCTTCGTCTCACGCAGCCGGATTTACCAACAGTCACCCCACACAGCCGCCATGTTGGGTGCTAACTGATTCCGCGGCGTAGGATTGACGTCTGACGTGCCGTGACGTGGATGATAAGCCGTCATCGAGGCCATCCAGTGCGCCATCCCAGCGCTCTCCCCCCCCCCCCCCACCGCCACCCCCGGACGTCAGGGAAGCCCGGCCGAACGCGCTGGAGCCTCAGGAAGTTACGTAACTGATTATTGGGGACGAGGTAGGGTTAAGGAGGCTGGGAGGATTTAGGAAGTCCTCAGATGGCCTGAATTGTGAGTAATATTGCGGTCAATGTGCATTCAAGCATGCCCATGGGATGGGGGACCTGGTAATAGGTATTAGGTACTTGATCAAAATTAAGATGTTCAACTCTCATTTCCAACTTGATGGACTTCATGTAAATATCCTAAAATTTGAAAACCAGACTATTGTCGATAAGGATCCAACTCAACTCTTACTTTTCACTAAACAGTCGCTATTTTTAATGACCCTGGCTTCACGTCGTGCACTGTCACCATCAGTTAGAAGTCTCATGCCATCAACCAAACGCACGCCGGCCAATCCCACTTTGACGATTGACCACATGGTAACATGATTTTGGTACGGTGCCGCTGTTAATCGTGATACGATACGTTATCTGCCGGCATCCAGATCTTTGTTGCGTGAACTGTAAAAATATGTGTATTTTGTACCACTAATGTGCTTTGTACAGACGTATCACGACTGACCTAAATTTAAAGACACGCATTCACAGGCTCATGTGGCTTTGTTGGAGAGTTTACTGCTTCAAAATCAAAAGCCAATAGGATTATGGGCGTAAAACGTTAGGGTTGACTCACGCCCTGAATGGCTATTCCCCGTGACCCGCGTGCTTTTGG